CTTGGCGGTGTTCGCCGTGGATCTCTGTCTCCACGACCATCCTCGACCTTCTCATTCGATAATCAGAATCAGTTTCCGCACCCTTCTACAGATAACCGTCATTTTGGCTGGCCCTCGACAGACCAAACTGGACATCGCAATAGTCCTCTCGGATTGGATTGGGCTTCCCCCTCTACGTGGTCTAGGGCACCATCTCGCCGTCCATCCATTCAATACGGATCTTCAGGTCATCTCCCCTTAGGGCTGACAGGCGAACCGGACTTTGTTGAGGATTCATACGATCGCCAGCTCCGCCCTCTTCAAGCCCCGATCGGAACTCGGCCATCCTCATCCCATCGCCCGATCACCCCGAAGCTGAATCCTGCAGCACCTTCATTCAAGGGAATATTCTCGAGTAAGAAGTCAGACCGAGGCAGAGAAAGGGATATCGATGGCCCTTTCGATCTGCATATGGACGATGGATCTCCCTCAGAGCCTCGCACATCACGCGACTCCCGCTCCCTTTCCCACTTCACCGGCGATTCCTATGAGTCTCTAGAGCGTGTCCAATCTGGTACATCGATGGACAATGCGTCCAAGGAATCCTTCATCCGCAAGATCACTCGCAAGGGTAGTTCAAGCAAGTTCAGCTCTTGGAAGGACCGCTCCGGTCTGTTTTCCAAGAAGGGTGACTCATCGCAAGGAGATATTGACGAGGATACTGCAAGCGAGGCTCAGCTGGGGAGGAGTGTTGACAGCACTATATCCAGTGCGCCCTCCGCTGATCGTTCAGCCCGCAGCAGTCTTGGCTTCTTTTCTCGCAAATCGCGCCGGTCTGACAAGGCCAGTGAGACGAGTGAGCGAGCTGATGAAACTGGCGACGAAGAACTCTCCGAAGTCGCCGAAGCGTGATAAAAACTGTGATTCCCATTCCTCCACTCTTTTCTATTTTCCTAGATTCTGGGGTAGCATACATACATACATATGACGGATTACTTCCGGTATTTTCAGACATCTTTCCAATTCCAGGTAGTATTTTCGACATAGGTACCGTAAAGCCATTCAACAGATTCATTTGTAGGGAGAGGACCGGCCTAGTAAGTGTATTGGACAAAACATGTGGTCGAAAGGCACCATTAGTTAATCACTACAGTGGCTTGCGTACCTATTAAACGGGCGTCAAATGAAATTAATCTAAGAATCGGTCTACAGGGTGCTTAAGGTCAGTGGCTATCGCGTCTAGTCAGCGACCTCGGGACACTACCCTACTCAGTGAGATATCACAAGCGGAAATTAAACATCGAAGTCAATCAAATCTGATCGGAGTTCACGAGGGAACTCATCCTAATGATATCAATGGACTGTCGGTGTCATGTAATGGGTATCTAGTCGCGCACGACGCGGACAGGGTGAGCCTCAGTGTTGAACACAAACGTATTCTTGTCACCTTTCTGGACTTGCCATGCAGCCTCTATAAGTTTGGATCAGTGATTTGTCCATAAAAAGAAGGAAGGGAGAAGATAAAATACCCTCGGAGTGTGCAAGGTACGAGTACTTCATGACCTCGGCGAAGAGGAAGCTCTCCTGGTTGTCATACTTGGAGCCGCCATTGGCCTTGTTCACATTGGATACAGCAGCGAAGCCTGAGTCGGTGCGACAGGTAGAGTTGATGGCGACGAATGCGTTCCAGACCCAGTCGCGGTACTAAGATTTCGTTAATACCATCCACGGAACTACATCAAGCAAGAATGATCCAGATAACTTACGATTTCTTTGCCAGTAACGCGATGCGCATAGTAGAAGCTCTCAACCACCTCGGGGCGGAGGACATAGGCGCCACTGTTGATGTAGAAGCCAGCCTTCTCGTAGAAATCCTTCTGGTCATCTGGGACCTGGTTCGGGTCCCAACCCCACGAGTCTGGCCCGATCTTGGTAAGAGTAGAGTTGTATGTAGCCTCACATCCGTTCACCAGCTCAAGACCGAAGTCGATAAAGTCCTGGCGATTCAAAACTGTGCCACCTAGAATGAAACTGCCACCGTCGAAGCAGGTCAAATGCTGCGAGCTGAGATCGTAATTCCCGTCGTTGTACGAAGACAGGAACGTCAGATCCGGGCGAGGTTCTGGGTGTGCCTGAAGATGCTTGATCGTCGACTCGGCCGCGAGCACCCAGCGGTCTTTGTACGTCGCGAACCGCTTAGGGTCGTACACGTACATCTTGATCAGGTACTCATAGAATGAGTCGTCACCTCCGTTCCATGAGACCGATGCGTCTGAAAACTGGCCAGTCTTAATGTTGATCGAGCTGCCCACAAGGCCGGGGAACGGCTCGCTGCTTGAAGGCTGCGGGCTCAGCAAATATGACTCGGCCTTTTGGCTCAGCTTGGCATACTCCTTGTCACCAGTCAAATCGGACAGGCGCGTCCATTCGAGAACCAATGTTCCGGTCACAGCAAGGCCATTGGTTGTCGCGCCATCGTTGCCTTTTGATGTAATGTTGATGTTGTTGTATGGCACACCTGACGGAGTATTGAAAGCAAACTTCAGCACATTGGCGAGATTTTTGGATTGTGTGAGCAATCCGTCGACGAGGCTCTGGTCGTTGACCAAGTCTTTTGCGGGTCCCTGCAGCAAGTCGTATCCCGACAACATGCCCCCCAAATAACGAATGGTGGTTTCAAAAAGGCTGACGGTATCCGAGGTCTCGGAGTAGTCGATCTTCTGGACATGCTCGAGAATAGTTTTCACAACGTCTGCCTTGCCCATGATCACGGCCGTGGAAAGCGCATCGACTGCGGAGGCTCCCCATCCATTTCTATGAAAAGTAAAGGACTTAGCCAAACCAAATCCTTTTTCTGTCGAGATACTCGATGACCAAGTAAAAAAAAAAATACTCACCTAGAATCGGCGTGACCATTGCTGACCGGGGTCAGCTCGTCGTGGGGAAAAGCATATTTCATGTATCCATCCCACGCGTGCTGGAAGGCTTCCTTGACGGCGTCGGCCTTGGCTTGGTTGGTCTCTGGCTCGCGACGCAAGACAGCCTCCGTCTCGCCATAGGGATAAGCAACCGTAGAGCCCAATAGGCTCAGGACGGTGATAGGGAGTGACAATGGAACGCGCATGATGGTCAAGTCGGCGCTCCGGGGTCGCGTAGAAGAATGATAGTATCAATAAAAAGGGCGACGAGAGCAAGAGATTCTTCAATCGCAAGCGAAAGGACAACCCAGCTGTGTGGGTCAAGGCGATTTAATAAATACTCGAGAGCCGAGTCGTGGTGGATCAGGAACAAAAAGAATGAGAACGGCGGATTGGGGGAAGAACACAAAAGGGGAAGTGGGAGCGTCACATCGATCGTGTGTTTACTTCCCGCCGGTCCTGCAGATTGCAGCATTGCACATCTTGCACACATTGTACACACTGGACCCGGACTTCACCCGCTCCACTTGTCCTGGGGGATCTGCAAGGGCGTTCATTCTAATTGGTTGTCACTCCGAGGTGGCTTGGGGAATGTGTCCCACTGCTCGCCTCTGCTGGACCGGCTGATCCGACTAGTCGCTGCGCCTTCGATGATCCCGATAGTCTCGTCAAAAGGAGAAGAGCCCTGCCTCTGGATGGGCGATCCCTGTTCACACCCCAGGAGAAGGACGGATGACTCGTACGGGTGATCCATTTATGGTCACGGTTCCTGAAGCTTGGATCCCCGTGGCGCCAAGTGGGATCCGATGCCCTCATGCAGGACCCTGTAACTTACCCCTCAAATGTCTTTCGTGTGGGCATGATGCATGGCTGCCATGTCGTCACAATGCGGCCTTGTCGTAGCGTGGCTAATTTCCTACTCGAACTAGTACTAGTAGGTTAAACCTCAGCCGGTCAATTTATTTCGGGAATCTCCTGCTCTTGCAATTCCTCCGACAGGGCCGATGCTACAGTGCATTTCTCTTGGCTATTTTCTAACCAATTGAGGAATCTCCGACAGAGTGCACAACCTTGGAACGGGAATATAAAATGTTAGTGGCACTGTACCAGAGGATATATCCAACTTACGATTGGTGGCTGGGGTGTCGGAGAGCTTAGATCGGCGACCGTCCGAGCTGATCAAGTGCTAGCGCTTATTCTCTAAGGCGATGAGACCGAAAAATCGGTTTCATCTGCTTGCAGTGGCCCCTCGAGATTCGGCCTTGGGCCACATCAACTTGAAGAGACGGACTTTTCGAACGAAAATAGCCGGCCCAATGGATTTGGCGGAGAAGAAGTCTTGGCCGTTCTTATGAGGATCGATCAACTTGACATTCCAAGGTTTGAAAGGGCAAAGCAATGTCATGCGCACGAAAGCTACTACTACTACTACTAGTATTTCAATTTAATCCTTGCACAAGCATACCTTACACATTTTCCTCAGCGGACAGGTGGGTTATGGCAAATCATACTAGTATTCCTACTTCACAGCTCGAGAGCAATGCTATTTGAACGTTTCGCTATAATCAACGGGATCGATTTGGTACTAATACCACTCTTATGGCAACTTAAAGTTCTTGGCAATATTAATAAGAGTGGCATCTTTACTAAAAAATCTACCATGTCTTGATTATGTACACTTGTAATACAAACTACTATCGAAGGTAGTAGCCGGCCATTCAACGTGCCTTGCCATTCACGGGTGTAAACAATTTAACCTTAAATCCCAAGTAAAACCTTGGAAGGCAAATGACGGTTCTCCGATATCGGCGTCGCATAAAGCTAGAAGACCAGCTTGCGAGTAAGAAGCAAGTCAGAGCCCTCTCAATGCTCCATTGCTCTCATTGCCAAAAATAAGAGAAAAGACCACATGATATTCCAAACAGTCAAATAGGTATCTGCAAGCGCAAGCGCTGTGGAGCGAATTGGGGAAGTGGGCCGATTTGTAAGCCCTCGGCATACCCTGGATGAACAATGTATAAAGTCTTCTTCACCTTTCTATTCTTCCGTTGCTGTCACTTCATATTTAATCTGGTTGTATTTTGCTCCTTATAATTCAATATAATGGCCACGGGAAATACCCTCGTGGTTCGTGTGCCTGAAAGGCAATCTCCCCAATTAGTCCAAGAACAACTTTCCCTTCCAATCCCCAGCGCCAGCCAAGTGCAGGTCAAGGTGTCACACGTGGCACAGAACCCGACAGATGGTAGGACTCTCTGCTCTACTGATGATGAGGATTTCACTCGACTCACCCTAAACCAGTGCAATGCTTTGATGTCAATGCTTTCGGGGACGGAGCTGTTCTGGGGTGTGATTTCGTCGGAGAAGTGACCGAGCTCGGCAGTGGGGTTACTCGTCTTTCGAGGGGCGATATTGTAGCAGGGCTGATTTGGGGCGGTATGAATCTGTCTAAATACCATAAATTTATACGAGAGCCCTTACTGATCTTTCTATTGCAGGTGAAATTGCCGGCCTGGGCGGTTATAGTGAATATACTGTTGCCGATCAACACATCTCTTTCAAGGTGCCTTCGAACATCTCGAAAGCGGAGGCCAGTACTGTTCCACTAGCAGCAGCCACAGCATGGCTAGCTCTTTTCTCCAAAGGTTGTCTTGACCTTGATCGCTCCAAGGCCACAGGAGTTAGTGTGTTGGTGTGGGGTGGTAGCTGTATGCAAATGATCCCTTTCCCAAACTCCCACTTGGTCCCCTGAAAATACTAAAGATGAAAAGCGAGTGTTGGTCTTTATACGATTCAGCTGGCATCTATCTGTGGCTTCGATGTGGTGACAACATGCAGTCCTCGCAATGAAGATCTGGTCCGATCCCGTGGAGCTAAGCATGTATTTGACTACAGAGATCCACATGTGATCGAGAAGATTACGGAGGTCTCACCTAATATTCAACACATTTTTGACACCATTGGAGATGCCAACTCTTCGTCTCTATCCTCTCGGGCATTTGGTGGCCGCGAGGGTAATCTCTGCACCGTCAGACCCGGGAAGGCAAACACAGAGCGTGTTACCGCTAACACAAGAGTGACTGACGTGTTAGTATGGACTGTATTCCTGAAGGATCACCGTTATGCCCATTTCCATTGGCCGGTAAGATGCAGCCCTCAAAGAATGATGGTTCAGCCCCCAAGAAACTAAACTCAAAACTCGTATCTAGGCCTCGAAGGAAGACCACGAACTTGCTAGCGACTTATTTGATAACTTATCCACCTGGCTGGAACAGGGAAAAATCAAACCAAGCAGGGCAAAGGTGCTCCGTGGCTTGGGATCTGTGACTCAAGGGTTCCAGGAACACCGGGATGGTGCGATCTCCGCGTATAAGATTGTATATGAGCTGTGAGATACATAGTTGGAGCTCAATACAATCAAACTCATAGACTGTGGGAAAGCACAATTATATGTATTGATTTTTAAATACTACTGGAAGCATATATAGTACATGCGATGACACCATTCGATCAACTAAGATTAAATCAAAGTGGAGCGCGATATCAGATCCCGCGATTTTTACGTCCGGCAGATGATTCAGCGGGGCGGACCAACCAAGGCCGTGGAAAATGAAAAGAGTCATCGCCCTTGCACATTTTTCCCCTTCCAAGAAGCGCACCCCAAAAACCTGCTGGGGATATTCATACCCTAGTATCTTGGATTCGATTCCTTTTCCTCCCTCCTCCCCCATTGAGTCTTGCATACACGCCCGCCATGGCTACTCCCATCCTTATCTCCTACCCCTCTACCCCCACCTCTGGACTCTCCCTCAAGCAGATTGCCTACTTCGGCCGCGTTCTAGTTAAGGTCTCAAGTGTCGTGGAGGCTGAAGACTTCTTGCGCAAAAATTTTCGCAACCTCGATATCTACATTGATGCGACTACCATCTCCTCGTCCGGAGATCTGGTCGATATTCTGAACGCCGGTGCCGCCAAGATCCTCATCTCCCTCGATCAATTGACCGCTCTCTCTCCAAGAACAATCGGTTCCTTCCTCTAGACTGCTCGTCAACGCCCTCGTCGATGCCGAGCTAGACATTCTCCAGAAGTGGATTGCCACCAATGCTGCCGAGCGTAACGAGGCCAGCGTCTGCACTAGCCCCGCCAATGTTTCCGCCGCCGCCACGAAATTGAACATCAGCTCCGACTCACCCCGCCTATTCACAACCTATGGCAATGAGACCGTGACTGAGGATGCTATCGAAAAGGTCGCACAGCAGGGTGCAATTGCTATTGTTCCCTCTCAAACCCTGACAGTCGAGCGGGATGCTGCAGGCCAGATCTCTGCCGCTAAGTTGATCGCTTCTCGGGCCGTCACCGATCAGGCCAATGGCCTGTATGCCACATCCGTCACGGACGAGCGGGGCTCTTGCCTGGGTATGGTTTGGAGTAGTGATGAAAGTATCGCTGAAGCCCTCCGCACCGGCACTGGTGTTTACCAGAGCCGGAAGCGCGGTCTGTGGTACAAAGGTCAATCAAGCGGTGATGTTCAGGAGCTCATTCGGATCGGCTTCGACTGCGATGCCGATTGCCTCGTGTTTGTTGTTAAGCAGATCGGCCGCGGCTTCTGCCACCTCGGTACCGAGACATGCTTTGGTGCTTCCGCTGGTTTGTCCCGCCTCCAGAAGACTCTCCAAGCTCGCAAGGCAGATGCCCCTGCCGGATCGTACACTGCTCGCTTGTTCAACGAGCCCAAGCTTGTGGATGCCAAGGTGATGGAGGAGGCTGATGAGCTGTGCCGTGCTACTACCAAGGAAGAGATTGCTTTTGAGGCTGCCGACCTCTTTTACTTTGCACTGACCAAGTGCACCGCGGCCGGTGTCTCTCTTGAGGATATTGAGCGCAACCTTGACCTGAAGAGCTTGAAGGTCAAGCGGAGAAAGGGTGATGCTAAGGGACCCTGGGCCGAGAAGGCTGGCCTGGTTGCCCCTCAATCAAAGCCCGCTCCTGCTCCTGATGCTCCCGCTCCCACGCCTGTGGAGGATCGCACTACCCGTATTGAAATGAAGCGTGTGATCACGTCCTCAGTCTCTGCCAAGGAGGTCAGTGATCACCTCAAGCGTCCTTCTCAGAGGTCCAACGATGCCATTGTCGGTCTTGTGAAGCCCATTATCCAGGACGTTCGCGAGGGAGGTGATGCCGGAGTTCTCAAATACACGCACAAGTTCGAGAAGGCCACCTCTTTAACTTCTCCCGTTATCCATGCCCCATTCGCTCCCGAGCTGATGAAGCTGACCCCCGAGGTCCAAGAAGCTCTTGATGTGAGTATCGGTAACATCGAGCGGTTCCACACTGCCCAGAAGGGCAGCAATGATGCCCTCGTGATGGAGACCATGCCCGGTGTTGTTTGCTCTCGTTTCTCGCGTCCAATTGAGCGTGTCGGTCTGTATATTCCCGGTGGTACTGCTGTGCTTCCTTCTACGGCCATGATGCTGGGTGTGCCTGCCATGGTGGCCGGTTGCCAGAAGATTGTTCTTGCTTCACCACCCCGTGCCGACGGCAGCATCTCCCCGGAGATTGTGTACGTTGCTCACAAGGTCGGTGCTGAAAGCATTGTTCTGGCCGGTGGTGCCCAAGCTGTCGCGGCCATGGCCTACGGTACCGAGAGCATTACTAAGGTGGACAAGATTCTGGGCCCTGGAAACCAGTTCGTGACTGCGGCCAAGATGCTGGTGTCCAACGACACCTCCGCAGGTGTGAGCATCGACATGCCTGCTGGTCCCAGCGAGGTCCTTGTGATCGCCGACAAGACCGCCAACCCAGCTTTCGTGGCCTCCGACCTATTGAGTCAGGCCGAGCACGGTGTTGACTCACAGGTCATTCTCATTGCCGTCGATCTGAGCGAGGAGCAGTTGCGTGCCATCGAGGATGAAGTTGATGCGCAGGCTAAGGCTCTTCCCCGCATGGACATCGTTCGCGGATCCTTGGACCACTCCGTCACCTTCGTGGTGCGGGATATCAATGAGGCAATGACCCTCAGCAACGACTACGCCCCCGAGCACTTGATCCTGCAGGTCGAGAACCCCGAATCTATTGTTGAGCAGGTCCAGAATGCCGGCAGTGTCTTTATTGGACCCTGGACCCCTGAGAGCGTGGGTGACTACTCGGCCGGTGTCAACCACTCTTTGCGTAAGTTGATAATACCTTTCTAACCCCAAATATTTGATTCAATTACTGACAATATTCACAGCTACCTACGGTTACGCCAAGCAATACTCTGGTGTTAACCTGGGCTCTTTCCTGAAGCACATCACTAGCTCGAATCTGACTGCCGAGGGCCTCTTGGGTCTCGCGAAGACCGTTGAGACCCTTGCTGCAGTGGAGGGACTCGAGGCTCACAAGCGAGCTATTAGCATTCGGGTTGCACAGATGAAGCGCTCTTAGAACGAAATTGGGAAGTTATGAAGTTCCTTATCACGAATGAATGCGCGATGATCTCAATTTAAAGGGGAACGAACAGTCCCGTAGAAAGGGAAAGTATTTATTGACTTTTCGGGAGTGAAAAATATTATATACTAGCATATAGCAGAATTTGTTCTGTCATTTATTTTTTCAAGATTTATCTATGTCTCTCTGTCGTTCCAAAGTTCTTACTGGTTGGGTAGTAAAATGCACATTGCGTCATCCAAGTTGAGGGATGGCTCTGTATGCCCCAGGGTGGGAGTTCCCCGGGTGGGGGCCATCCCTAATTGTGTAAGGCGTAGTCAGTTATCCTGCTGCCCAGTTTGCCTAGGTTGTCAATATCAAGGAATCGGGAAATAATAACTGTCTGACCAATCATGAGGTCAAATGCACCGCATTCAAGTTGTCATCATGGTCATGGATATGTCGGTGTCGACACAGCCGAGTAGAAGTGTGGAGCCAAACGCCGCTGAAGAAATGCCGCCCGCGACGCTAACCTATCTAGGTGGCATGTGCCGCCCGGCGGGCGTTTCTTGACTATTGATTCAAATTTATACGAAGCTTACGCTGATCGATGGATATTTACTAGGATAAGATTTCTAGATTTTGGGGGCGAGCGCCAGATACCGCCTAGACAAGCTTAGCGTTAAACCGAGGCTGAGTTTCTGAGAAACGCGTCATGCGATTTAGATGTATAATAGGGTTCAATTTCGGTTATTGAATAGTGCTTCTTGGTTCCTATATTCCAACATCCATGATCCTCATATCAAATTTAGGACATCATGAAAGTTCTAATTCCTGCCCTTACTCTCATTCCATTCTGCATTCCAGCAGTCCTAGGTGGCCACCTCCCTGGTCCGGCCTACCCAGCGCCTGAAGATATCAGCAGTGATTCTAGCCGGGTGGCTGCCAGCTGGAAGAATGTTACCGCAACGTTAGATCAAACTCTCAAAGGTGGTGGTTTGGGCAAACTAGCTTCAGCCATGCTGAAAAACACCACTTTCTCAATGGGCATGTTCTCGCTACATGATCAGGACGCTAGTTCTTTGCAGTACCACCACACAGCCCCGTCTACTCTGAATGGTACATATGGGACCAAAAGCGTCGACGCCGACTCCATCTATCGCGTGGCCAGTATCTCAAAGCTCATCACCACCTATGCAGGCATGGTGAAGCTCCATGAGAATGATTGGAACACTCCGTTAACCAAGATCTATCCCGCTTTCAGGGATTTCGTCGAAAAGACCGCGGTTGACTTCGATGCCGCACGAGACATCGAATGGGACAAGATTACTGTCGGTGATATTGCGGCACATATCGGCGGCATTCCTCGACTGGGGCTCCCCATCAGCGGGGATCTTCTGCTACTCTCCGAAACCAATCCAGCCGTCCTGAACACATTTGGTCTGCCGCCTGTCAACCGGACCGAGATCATGGCCCAGTATCCTTGCCTCCAAACTCTCGATTCTGGGAGTATAAAGTGTGATATCGATGATTATGTCAAGGGAATTGCGTCGGACCTTCCCAGATATCAACCTGGAGCCAGTCCTCTCTACTCCGACAGCGGCTTCTTCCTCCTTGGTGGTGCACTGGCCAATCTCACCGGTATGTCAATGGATGACCTCTATAAAAAGGCACTTTTCGAGCCCCTGAGCTTGAAAAATACCTTGTCCAAGCCTCCATCTGAGCCTAAGGATATCAAGCGCACTGTTATAGCCGGCACTGTGGAGTCAGCACTTGGAGAGGTCCCGATCACCACACCCTCTGGTGGTATCTACTCGACCATCAACGACCTCTCAAAGATCGGAATCAGCATCCTGAATTCCACTCTTATGTCAATTGATAAAACAAACCGATGGTTAAAGCCTGTGACTTTCACCGGAGATCTACACTATGCATTGGGTCGACCATGGGAGATCTATAGATACGAGTACAAGGACTCAGGCATTGTTACCGATATCTATACCAAACTCGGGGACTCTGGAAGCTACACGGGTTTGCTCGTTCTAGTGCCGGACTTTGAAATCGGTTTCAGTATTCTTGGTGCCAGCAACGGGACCGTTCATACACAGACAATTCAGTTCATCGCCGATACCCTTACGAATTCCCTTATGCCTGCCCTAGTGAACCAGGCCCGTCAAGAAACCCTTTCCAATCTCGCAGGAACGTACAAGTCGAATGACAAGAAACTGAACAACACTTTAACTGTCGCTGTCCCCTCATCATCCAAATCAGCCCCGGGTCTTGTCATCACTGAGTGGGTAAGCAACAGCACAGATCTTAAGAGTCACCTGGCTGAGACTCTGATCAACTGGGTTCCTCAACTGCCTCCCGCAAAAGCGAACCCTAACCTGGTTAGACTTGTGCCTACAATCCAGGATATTGCAGGCTCGGGTCAAATCGCTTTCCAGATGGAGACGGTTGATCCTACCGGTCCAATTCCTGGCCATCTCTTTACCAAGATGTATTCTGCTGGGGACTGGGCGAGCACCATTGACCAGCTTACCTATCACGATATTCCGATCAACGAATTTGTATTCAATGTCGACAAGAAGACCGGAAAAGCCCACTCTGTGACAGCAAGCGCTTACAATATTGAATTGGAGCGTCAATGAGCCAAAAATGGTTCTGCCCACAGTTTGATTTGGCGTCTTGTCTGGTTTTAGATATTTTCAAAGACCCTTCGTGTATTTAAACCTAGTTTGAAAATATTAGATGTACATTTTGTTAGGATTTTTACCATCCTCAATTCTATAGATGTACTCCGTATGTAGCGTCTTTTACGAGTCAATTCTGCGAAAGCCGCTCGAATATTTGAAATTTTAAGGAGCTAGCCAGAGCGCCACTTTCTCTGGAAATCAAATAAGACCAGTCGCATTTGACAGATCACATTCCTCTTGTGATTTCGCGGAAGAGCATATTTCCGGACCCAATATTCCATCCGATTAAGTTGTATTGATCCAAATTGTCTAGACAGAAGTACTCGGATTTATGCCGCTGGATGAGATACCTGCCTCATGCATAGCGAGGGAGCTAGTACCTAGGTATGAATTATTCTTCTAAAGCTAATAAACGATTCTTGCGATCGCTACACTATTTTATGCGGTGAACGCTTTTATAATTATGCTCCATTCCTCGCTTGTAACAGGCCCCTGAACTTATGAAATCATTGCTTTGCTAATCATTGCTACCTAGGTACGCAGTCATCCGAAATTGGCACGAACGAGATATTCACACTTTCACAAAATATGTCTGTGTAGGGCCAATTTGTGATACGACTGATGAGGATTACGAATTTTATGACGAAAGCAATTACCTAGTGGCTCCCTCTTTGCACAGCATCTGCTGGCATACTTTGGAGAGACGTGCGAGCGAGTTTACGCTCTCAAATTTTGCTTATGCCTTGCTGCCATCTTTGCATACCAAGATCACCGGCAATATCCATGCATTGTCTAATGAATCATTTCTGTCAGAGGCACTGCGACAGCTTTGCGAGTTCTCTCGCAATGATCTCCGGTAAGAACCTAAACTCTTCAGTATTGCGGATCGACTGAGGAGATTGCCCGAAGAACTTATTTTGCTGATATTGGAATTGCTGCCTCTTAAAATTGTCAGGTATCTGATATCGCTCCAGGCGACTATTAAATTGATGGGCGAAGCAAGTCTAAGCCGTCAATGGACTGGAGCCCTTCTTCTACATGGCCCATTGAATGTTTTCTTTCGTCCTTTATTTGGAGATAATTTACGTTTGTGGGCTTCCCAATGCTTACTAACAGTTCGGGCATAGAAGTGAAGATTATCAGTAAGTCCAAATTGAGAGTCCCGTGGTCGCAGTATCTTCTATAATTGGTTTATTCGGGGTAATGGGAATCGAATGCCTAACGAAAAACGGGAAGAGGGGATATTTTGGCTATCTAATTCGCTATTGTGATCACACGAGACGGATGCATATTACCTTACCGAATACCCTAACCCTTTCTTTTTGAAAGTAAAAGGCAATATAAAAATATTACCTGCTTAGTGTTTAAGACTTCTACTTCGCAAGCTGATAAATCTCACAGGGACTCAAAATTCGAGTGATTCAACGGCTTCCGTCCAAAATCCTAGAATTTGGTAACGTTTTTACCTAGGACACAATTTTTTCACTTACCTTGTTGTGTAGCAAGGATCCAAGAGTATTCTTTTTACATCCACGCCAAGGGGAATACATACCGTATACCAACAAGCTATACATACGATGTGTGCCATTCAAAGAAAAAGAAGCAATAATGTATGGCCTGACGGTCTGTTGCTCCACTGCCGGAGGAATCATTGGAATCGGAGCTCATTTTCGCCACTACTCGACGACTGGTAATCAATCTACCTATTCCATCTGGAAGGGTCAACCCGGCGGCTGTTATCTTCACATCAGATTCAAGTCGAAGGAGCGTGTTATTACAGTATGGATACTCCCCTGCAAAGAAGGTTTCTTTGATTATCCTTATCCAGGAGTGATTAACATTTACGAAAATATTGTGTTATAGTTATAGATGGTCCGACTTATCCTACTGATTATGACACTCAGATATCATCAAGTGAAGGGCATTCTTATGATCTGTCGCCGCAACTTCCGAAAACGCAGACTGGTATCCAGCTTCTAGCTAATAAAAGCCGCGGCGCATTACTTGGGATGTACTACGATGATCCACCGGGTACTCCTAATCATCTCAATAGCTTCGGAGTATTCTCCTCTGCTTCGCTAGCTCAAGATTATCCAGAGTCCGTTAAACTAGTCTTTTCTTGCTGCCGTCCCAAGTCTTCTCGTCTCAAATTATCTATCTGGGAACAATTCAGTTCATACGCTATTCTCGACAATATCACTTGCGTAGACACATTTTCCGTGGGTGTTCGTTGCACGGGCATGATTCTGACCGGACATCAAAAAGTGCTGGGTTAATGGCTTGAAGACGACCCATCGAAACATGTTACATTTCACAAATTAGAACCCGCTTGCCGACAGGGCTTGCGATTTTTCCTCTCGAATTCACAGGGGAATCTTTACTTGGACCGAGTGGAATTGCGATCATATGAACGCAGGCTTCCTGTTCATACACCTGGTCAAATCATCGTCGACGCTGATTGAACGGTGAGTACTTAGTATGCCTCGGACTGTATAGCCTCGGACTGACCTATATAGGATACAATTATTTGGCAATTTTCATACTCATCAGATGTGATATACTGTAAGATATCACGATATTAAAATTCAAGTGGTGCTGCACTGATGCCAGTGGTGTCACGATAGTATAGTACTAGTACTATGAGCCCATGTATTTAATAAAGCAGGCAGATAGATGTTGAATGTACTAGTAGGTACCTACGTACCGGATTTCCCATGCAAAGTCTTGGTTTTCCCCTTCCGTTTTAGTGCTCAGTGAGCGCCGCTTTTGCTCACCGAGTAGATCTGAGCACGTCTCTGAGCGCGCTGAGCGGATCAGTGATTATCACGTAACTACCCTGAGCAGCTCTCTGATCACTCTGATCTGCTCAGTGAACCTGATCTGAGCGCTCTGATTTGCTCTCTGAGCATTACTTACATAAGAGCCAGCAGTCTGACTCAAGCACCCCAATAAAATGCAATGCACTACCACTCACAAAAGTCCCTCGCCATTTTTAGAATGTCTCAAATAGGCCATCAAAAAAAGGTATGTATCATGAACAGCTACAAAACTTACATAGCAAGCATAGTAAGTAGGAGCAAATATACCAAATAGATCACCTTATTATCCTATGAATAAAATTCTGGCTGTAGTCTGCAAGCTCCTAAGAACAATTTACCAAGTTTTCTTAGTATACTGTTTCCTGTATAGGTTAAAGACCAGAGAATTAGAGAGCTAATTTTCTATAATTTCTAATTAAATCTATATATATTCAAACTATTTAATAGAAAAGTTGTTTATAGTACTATAATAGCCTTATTATAGCTAAATACTACTAATAAAGATAATTTTATAAAGGGTAACTAAGAGGCTAATTAGTAACTAACTAACTAGGTAAATAATAGAAAATAAGACTAGTATTTATTCATAATATTTTTGTTGGTTCTGGATATTTGGCTTGTTGAGTAAATAACTTCACCTTCAGGTTGAACTGGAAGATTCCATTCTCATGTTGATAAAGGAGTGATCAAGGGAAAACCTCTTTGGCTTATATAAACAGAAATTGGGTTAATTTTTCAACTAGGCAGTTTGGCCGAGTGGTCTAAGGCGATTGACTGTTCGTTACCCCACGTGATTCCACTTACATGATCATCCACTAACACCCAATCCAGCGAATGGTTGCAATCTCGAATTGTCCACCCGATATCAATTCTCTTCGGAGGCGCAGGTTCAAATCCTGCAGCTGTCGAAATCTTTTTTTTTCTGCCTTGTGACCATTCCACGTACCCCACCGCCGAGTGGACCATCTACCGCGCAAACACTATGTCAAGTGTATTTTACAATGGTTGGGGGGGCGGGTTTATGGCTCTTTCTTTGTATATTTCCTCTATAATTTGATTTAAAAGTATCTAAATAAGTCCAAAAAACGTCGTAATATAGCTTTATGAATTAGAAATCTATGTGTTACTAATAGCTTCACTCTAATATTTGTGAGATTTCACCCAGCAATAAATATTCTATATGACCCACATGAGAGAGTATCTTGGAGTCTGCCACCTTTAACTGAGAGCCCTGAAAATTATGGCACAAGATAATAAAAGATAGTCCGGCGTTTATTGTGTTCTGCGGCAAATTGGTCCATCCAGAGATAATTTGCTTTATGGATGCAAATATGGAATCTTACATAAGATCTGGCAGTTTGGCCGAGTGGTCTAAGGCGATTGACTGTTCGTTACCCCACGTGATTCCATTTACATGATCTTCCACTAACTCCCAATCCAGCGAATGGTTGCAATCTCGAATTGTCCACCCGATATCAATTCTCTTCGGAGGCGCAGGTTCGAATCCTGCAGCTGTCGAGCTATTTTTTTCCTCTATTTTTATGGCCAGGTGCCATACATACATATCCTTCTATCATCTAACCAGGCCGGGAGGCGTAACGTCACTTATATAATAATTACTAGTTAGTTAGTAGATATACAGACGTAGGAGTATCAAGTGGTTTGATAAATTTTGCAACGAACTGGGATACTGCCTTTACATAACTCCAGTTATATGACCCACACCTTATTCATCTGTATGATAACACCACTAATAGTATCTCTCTTCTTCTTTTTCTCTAGCTTTCTTACTTTTTGTCTAATACTACACATATTCATATTGCATCGAGTCCTTACAAACTTAGTTGATATTAGATTTTATACAGTGACTGTAAGAAGCTCAGGCACGAGGCACTCGTAAGTGGAATATGAGACGAAAAATTAGATTGAGGAGAGCGAAGAAGAGTCTAGGACACAAGACTACATACAAATAGGCATAGATGCCTAGGTGAACACCTGAGGTATCAGTGCCGCAATAGCATAGTAACCATCGGGTTTGTTACAGTGACAATAATGTAAGTAAGCTCTTGCTTAGGCCTGGGGTTTAGCTATTTGAAGAAGTTTGAACCTCTCGCGATAATCAAGCTTCTGAGCGAA